TTTTAGCAGTGTTTGGGTTTTTAGAGACTCCAGGATTATTAGGATGTGGCAAGATCTTTGTTCCATGCTGAAATATGCAAACTTCTGCTTACAGATACAATGAAGATTTGGAGCTTGAAGATGCCATTCATACAGCTATCTTAACACTAAAGGTTAGCAAAATATTTAAGAAATGAGTTTCTTACTGTTACAGCATCATTGGTGTGATTCACTGAACTGTATTTTCTTTAATAGGAGAGCTTTGAAGGGCAGATGACAGAAGACAATATCGAAGTTGGCATCTGTAATGAAGCAGGTTTTAGGAGGCTCACTCCAACTGAGGTTAAGGACTACTTGGCTGCAATAGCCTAGTAGGAACCAAGCCAGACTGTGTGATTCACACAAAGGTCTTTTTAATTTTGGCTACTTAAATGTTTTTGTTTGCAGTTTTTGCATACTTATTTCTACATGGTTCGTCTGAGAGATTTTTTAAATATCATGGGTGCAACGGCAACAGTCCTAATGTTGTAATACATGGAATCTTATTACAGGTAATTCTTTCCCTTGATACATGGAATCTTTGTACACAAAACACTGTACAAAATGTAAAGTTACAATGACAGCTCAAAAAAGGCTAAAGAATAAAATTTGAAGGCCACTGTTTTGGGGGCAGATGTCTGTGTGTCTTTTTAATCATAGCTTTTTATCTGCATAAAGCAGAGTCTTCAGTATCTTTACTGTTAAGGAAACAGAATTTTCCACATCTAGCCACAATGAACTCATGTGAGACCTTCTTTTAAAGAGTTTAAATTTTGAGTGGACAGGGTAATATTTTTTTTCACTTTGGAGTTTTGTGTAATATTAAGTTACATCCAGAAATGGTTTTTATCTGGTGCAAGAGATCATGTACCTTCACAAATAGCCAGAACAGTCTTCCATTTCAGGTGTAAACTGTGATCTACCTGAGCATCTCCGCTCTTGACCCTCTTGCTCTTTGTGTCTCAAGAACTTGTTTTCTATTACTTGGGTCATAGCCCTAGAAACTGCAATTTTTCAACCCTGAAATACTTCTAGAAATAATAGAAGTGGTTAACTCTTACTGAAAGCTAAATGCATCAATAACAATCAACAAGAGTTGCAAAGCAAAGTGAGGATATGTGATATAATTACTTTATCCCTTGAATTCTGCTAAAATATTTTCCAACTTGCAAGATAACTCTAAAGGTGCAGTAATGAAAAGATCACTTAATTTATGCATCATAACTTTTACAGGTGCAGAACTAGATGCTTGAATATTATTGTGTTAGGTGTATGTATCAGTGCATTTGTTACATGTGTTGTCCAGGTTATGTAGAAACACAAAACTTACTGCAGAAGAAACAGGATAAAATATATGTACTTTTTTCAGCAGAAATCATTTGGTCTGCAGTCATTTAAGTTACTCTGTGGAGATTTCATTTGGTTTTAAGCAGTCTGATTGTTAAAATGTCGATAATGAACCGGGAGCAATAGCTTGTATGTAAGGCTAAGAACATATGGAAGCAGTCTGACAGGATACATCTTAGCCAGACATAACTGAGGAAGAAAGCACAAAGTATGAGTTAGTCTGCAGAAAGTAGTGTGTAGCTCATTGATTTGTTCTTTCCAATGTCTGTTGTCTGATGTTTTATGTTATCATTAGGTAAATAAGAATTTCTGAAGCATGCCATAACTGAAGCTCTATTTCCTAATGTCAGAAATAAAAGCTGTGTCCAAACGGTTCATTAAGACTTACTCCAGATCGCTTCTTGAGTATTTCACTCTGAAAACCAATCCATGCTCTGATTCTTCTTGTAGAGGAAATGAACAGCTAGGAACCAAAACTGGAGAGTTAATACTGCTACGTCTTCAATTTGGAATATTTATATACACTCATTTCTTTAATGATACATAAATATTATAAGGTGTTTTTATATAAAAAAATGCAGGTAGATACTTCAGAAAATGGTTAGCATGAACTGCAGTAGCTTATTTGCCTCCTCTACTAGATTAACAGAAGAACATCGTATGGAGTGTAGCTGAAACCAAAGCAAGTTTCAAATAAATCATGCTATCGTATTCCCAAAATGGTGATAGTGGGACAAACAAAATGTTTCAAAGTTTGAGGGATGGGGGTAATAATTGAACAGAATTGTGTAGAATTTTACTAATTTTATAGGTCTGAAGTGGAAAACCCAGTATCATCCCTCTTTTCTTGTGGGTTAATAATTCAAATGTAGTAACTGTTCCTGTGCACAGTATGAAAACCATTGTGCTCTGAGCAAGGAAAGCGGTGTCCTTCAGACACCTAACAACTGGTGTAGATGTTGAGAGGGGTTTTGCCCACTGTTCCCTACCCTGTTAGGAGGACAGACAACCATTACCACACAGAGTAGTTTACTGAGGTGTGTATTTCAGAAGTGTTGCTGGCTTTACTTCATGTTAGAGACAACATTGTAAATGGTGGCACTGTGAAGTTAGTATGTTTGACATATTCTGAATGTCCTCTTGTACCAGGTTGCCTCAGTCAATGCTTTTCAGGAATGTAAACTGTTTGAATTGGTAAAATGATGTGTGGTTTGGTTATTATTATGTGGTGGCATGTTTTCTTTCGAGAACAAGCAGAAGTGTGCCTTGGGAAAGATGAGAGTGCTATGACCAGGCTTTTGTAGCACAGTTTATTAGTACTTGTCATAAAAAGAGACCAGAAAGCTTCAAAACGCTGATCAGTTGAAACTTTTCTTTGAGATTACTTTCCCCTGAGAGTGCTGTCCTCAGGCTGTCTCTGAGCTATGATCTCAGAGCCCCAGTTGTCATTTCTGTGGTAGTATCTGTTTTGTCAGAAATGAGACAGGTAGGTCTTACATGGTCTGTTGTCAGTGTATTCATTTTGATGAGCCACCAAACTGATAGTTGAGCAACTGTTTTTACACCGTTAAGAACTGAGTCCCAGAGCTCCCTGATAATTCTGAAGACCTACAGAGAATTAGCATTTGTGGGACTTGGTGTAATTTGGAAAGAATATGCATAATGTATTGAGTTCAGGTTTTATTTATTGTATTAGATAATTTTCTTAATGGTGGGTGGACAGACCCGTGGTATTACACTGTTCTTTGGGGCAGGTGGTGTGATGTGGATTATGGGGTTTACTTTTTTGACTTGACTTAAAGAATCTCTCAATGAAACTCACCAACAAAGTTGACAAGCAGGTATTTCTTGCGGTGCCGGGAGACACGGGGAATAGCTCCTCCTAACGTGTCTCTGCCGAAGTGCTAAACAAGCAGTCCATATATAGTCACTAAACATACATATTCATTACATACATGCATATTCATGAGGTTACTTATGTATTACGTCATTTCTCTAGACAGTTTCTCCTGCATACGCACACAAATGTGGTAGTGGGCTTTGGGTGCCGTTTACTTCTCCCAACAGTCTTCCTCATTTGGCCATTCCTTGACCTTTCATCCTGGCAGTCTTTGCAGCATGCACAGTAGATAAAAGCTTACTCCAGCTTAATTGGTTTAGTAACACCACTGACATAATTGAATGATTTCTCCCCATCCTTCTACTTATCAATTAACTCAGCTACAACTCATCCTAAACATCTTCCAGTTTAGATAATCTTCATCTACATGTCCTGTTTTGCTTACAATTAATATTGTACAAGGTTATGGGGTCCTATAACTACATCAACTACGGTCATTTATCTTTTACAAGGATGACCACTAAGCAGAACTAAACTTACTTACTTATAATAGGTTATATTTCAACCTGTTTTCTCTATTTCAAACTGCTTAATCCTACACTGAAGGAAATCACTGCCATACTGTCTGAAATAGTGATTAAATTTTATCTAATATCTAAAGGGAACCTTTAAACCGTAGGGAACTAATTTATGTCTTTTTGCATTCAAAATCCTTGGAATTTAAGGGAATAGTAATTTTAATTCGAAGACTATATTTCTCAAATAATAAAATCATTTCAAGGATGAGAGATACAACTGCAGTGGAGCAGCAAATTATATGGGGGTTGTCATTTTCAAAATGCATGGGGTTTTGTGTGTGTTGTGTTATTAGCTTTGTTTATATTTTAACAAAAAAAAATGACTCACTGCATGAAGTGGGATCAAGGGGGAATGGACAAACTGCTCATGTGTGAGACGACAAATTACAAGCTTGTCTAAGCTAACCATGAAGTATGCTTCTGCTTCATTTATCTTGTCCCTAATGCAGTCATGTGAAAGAAGAAAAAGAGTGGTCACTTAAAGTAGGTAACGTTATTGATCTGCATGTCCTGGAAGATGATCGGCTCCAACGACATCGGGCTTGTGAATTTCCTTTGGCTTAATTTAACTATTAGGATAGGGATCTGACCATCACCAATTCATGAGGCGATGAACCTCCTTTAACTAGGTTTCAGTGTGATAAACGGTAGGGTGCAGTGAGGTGTTTACAACTTGTTTTGGCTTATTCTTGCTTTACAGATGTTGTGAAATCATTCAGACAACTAAAAACCATCACTCACCATAGGAGCCAATGATCGGTAGGTGGAGAGAAGGCAAATCTCATGCTTGTTCGGAGCATTGCTGCAGCAGAGAGGCTGGAGCTCGCGGCGGTGACTACTGCTTTGAAGCAGCCTGCAGCTCGGGGCAAGCACGGAGGACCCTTGCTCACATTTAGCACTAAGTGGTTCAATAAGGCCATTTAAATGATAGTTTAAATTCAGGGACATGACATGCACCGAGCCACGGTTGTTTCTTCCCTGCTGCACTTAAAGCCTCAAGGTTGACACGTCTCTGACCTCATGCAATGACTTTGCTCCTCAAACAAAGGCTTTCCAGCATAAAAGGTGTATCTATCAGAGGACGGCCAGCACGCCGGGAACGAGAGCCAAGCGCAGAGGGCCGGAGGCATGCCGAGACGGATGTGGTGCCTGTCCCCGCCCGGCGGCCCGGGGGAGGTGCCGGGCCGGGCTGAGCCGCGCCACGCCACCTCCTGCCGCTGCCAGGGGCGAGGGGCTGGTGCTGCCGGGCTGTGAGTACAGGCTGCGGGGAGGGAGCGGGGCTCGGGCTTGCCGTGCACCGATAGTCAGTGGGGGACAATGACACGAGTGCCGCCGCCCGCTCTGCCGGCGTACCGGCTGAAGGCAAAAGAAGGGGCCGCGGCTCACGCAGGCGCTCGGGCAAGCGCTGAGGGCACCGTGCCCTCAGCCAAAATGGCGCCGCCACCTCACGTAAAGGCGGAGGGCGGGAGCGGTGGTGGTTGCGGCCGCTCCGCGCCGAAGGGCGGTGCGGGCCCTCAGGGGAAACGGCAGGGCCATGGCGGTGCCTCCGCGGCTGCTGAGGCGGGGGGCGCCGGGATGGCGGGGAAGTGCGTTCTCCCTGTGTGTGCATGCGCGGCGGGGTGAGGCGGTCCCGCATCAGTAACTGTGCGTTCGTGAGGGGTTTAGGGTTTCTCCACCTCGCTTTAAGGGTAGCTCCGTTTCTGAGGCCGCCTCGCAGTTGTGCTGAGAGAGTGGTTGGGTTTGGGGCTGACGCTCACTGGAAAGCTGGGAATAAGCTTCATCCCGATGCCTTTCTGTCTGTAGGAGCTGCTGTGGTGAGAGGTGCCAGAGTGGAAATGTGGAGTTTTACTCACTGCTTTGTGTGTCAGAATAAACTTGTGGTGGTGAGGACTTCTGTGAGGAGGGCTGGTGTCACTGGCCTCCTCTAGCCCTGAAGAGAGTCAGTGGGTCAGGTTGGAAGACATTGGGCTTTTTGGCTGAGAAGAAGGGGGAGAGTTTGGTAATGCTGGATATTGACTGGGCCAGAAGCAGTTAATTGTGGCTGTACTGGGATTTGTGCATAACGTGAGGGTGATTTCGACTGCTTTCAGCCCGGCCCTGCAGTTGTGCTGGCACAGCCTAAAGCTGCCTTTTTCTTGCTCTTTAATGCCAGATTGCTTCAGCATGCAGTTTAGGTAAGAATGATAGGAGCATGTGTTTATAGTTGGGAGTCAACTCAATTCATTTCACTATTTATAGTGGATATTTATTGCCTGCCATAAAAAAAATTGTGTTGTTTGCTGTGATATTGAATCCTATGTCTTTTTAAAGCCAGCCCCAATTCAGTTAAATAACTGCTGTCATACTTGGGGAGATGTACTAAAGTATTATGAATGTGAAGGAATAAACTTGAAGAGGTGCAGCATAGTAAATCTCTAGTAGAACTACAAGACATAGACATTTCTAGGTCCTTCTGGCTCTAGAATTATAACTTGTAGCCTGTCTGTGTAATGCTGAAACTTTACCAGGATGTAGTTGGGTATTCACTAAGTTGTGCGCTGTAAATTGGAAACTGGAGAGGACAGAGCTGTGCAACTCATGACTGTAAAATTGTGGGCTTCCTCTCTTGTTAAAATACTTATTGGGAGCCAGACTTGATGGGTTTTATATATGTCTGTAAGCATGGTGGGTGGCTTTTACATTTTAACAGTAACTGTGATGAAGAGGGAGGTTTGCATATGGCAGTAGCAGGAGTTCTCACTTTGCTATGGATGGTGAGTATTGTAAATGAGCTTTAAGTGACTAGCTCAGAGAAGGGCTTGCATGGGGCAGGAAATCCCACCAACTTGTGAGGTGGTGGTGGGGACAACTTGAGTGCTGCTGTTCTCCCATGCTGAGACCTAAAATCATCTGAGGCTGTAGGCTGGATCCCCAAAGGCGAAGAAAAGGAGTTAAAAACTCTTTGGTGAGACTTGTGCTGAGTTTCCTGCTGCTTGTGCTTTACAGTACTGGTTGCTGTTGTGCTAAATCTACTACAAAGCTTCAGTGTATACTGTTGCAAAGATCTCTTTTGACTGTCTTTATCCTTGGCTATGTGATAACAATCTTCTCTTTTGCTTACACTTGATAGGAATAATGTTTCCAACATGTCTGTGCAGACGCTGCTTTGTGAAAGAATTGATCTTGCCAAAGAATTGATCAAGAGAGCAGAAGCCCTTTCCAGGTCCCAGAAAAGGAGAATAGAAGGTGGGGCAAAATTGTGCAGCAAACTGAAGGCTGAGCTAAACTTCTTACCCAAGGTAGAAGCAGGGAAGGTGGCCATTAAAGAATCCCATCTGCAAAGTACAAACCTTACCCATCTCCAGGCTGTTATTCAGTCAGCGGAGAACCTGGAGGATGTTGTCAGTGTCCTCCATGTCTTTGCTTATGAGGACAGGTTTGGAGACAAGCAGACGCTCGTGGTGGATGTTGTTGCAAACGGAGGTCACACATGGGTGAAGGCCATCGGCCGTAAGGCTGAGGCTCTGCATAACATCTGGCTGGGGAGAGGCCAGTATGGTGACAAAAGCATCATTGAGCAGGCAGAGGACTTCTTGCAAGCAAGCCATCAGCAGCCAGTGGAGTACTGCAATCCCCACATAATCTTTGCCTTCTACAACAGTGTGTCCAGTCCTATGGCAGAGCGGCTCAAGGAGATGGGAATATCTGTGCGAGGAGACATTGTAGCTGTGAACTCACTGGCAGAGCCATCCACAGAAAACCAGCACCTTAGCACCAGTGAATCGGATGAAGAAGGCCCTGAACTCCTACAGGTGACCAGAGTAGACCGGGAGAATTTAGTGGCCAGAGTTGCTTTTCCTACCCAGATTAAAGTAAACATGTGCAATAGAGTTAACTTGGACATCACTACCTTAATAACCTACGTCTCTGCTCTGAGCTATGGTGGCTGCAACTTCATCTTCAAAGAGAAAGTGCTGACAGAGCAAGCAGCTCAGGAAAGGAGGGAGAGAGTCCTGCCTCAGCTGGAGGAGTTCATGGAGGGGAAGGAGCTCTTTGCCTGTGAGTCTGCTGTCAGAGATTTTCAGTCCATCTTGGAAACGCTGGGAGGACCCGGGGAGAAAGAACGAGCTGCGATGCTTGTGAAAAGAATTCAAGTGGTGCGAGATCAGCCATCTGACCGTGCCTTAGGACTAGTGGCTAGTTCAAAAATCAACAGCCGTTCTCTAACCATTTTTGGGACAGGAGACAATTTAAAAGCCATCACCATGACTGCAAATAGGGGTTTTGTGAGGGCAGCAGCTAACCAAGGTGTCAGGTTCAGTGTTTTTGTCCATCAGCCACGGGCATTGACAGAAAGCAAGGAATCTGTTGCCACACCTTTACCAAAGAGCTGCCCACCTGGTAATGGACTATAAGTCATTGAATGAGTCATTGGAATGCTGCAGGGGAGGCATTTGGGGAAACAAGAATCCTAGCAATGCATTTTTGGGTGTGCATCAGTGAAAGCAGTGACTGTAGCAATGGAAGGGCTCCTCAAGGAATTTTCAGTATCCTTACTCAGCCCTGGGGGGATATTTTGTTCAGCTGACCATTAATTTATTCGCTAAGGTACTAAGATTTCAGTGAAAATTGTTAACTGGTTTATAGCATGTTTTATCCATCCCTATTAAAAAGTTCAGTTAAAGCACAGTTGTTGTGCCCTTGTCAATTTTGTCCTCTTCAGGGAGATTAAATTCAGCACCTTAGATGGACTTCAGACTTGGCTTCTGTGGAACTTAAATCTTTCATTCATCTGACTAAATTCGTTGTTGAGTCGGGGGTACTTTGTGTACAGAATTATGCCTTTTTTGGGTGTATGTTGTTTCATGAATTCATGACTAGTGTCTGCGAATAGAAACCAACTTAATTCTTCCTTTCCTGAAAGGAACCTCTGCATGTGTACCATGTTAGACTGAATTGGGCAGCAGCTTTAAAATTCCCTTAAAAATCAGTTGAAATTGGAGTTTATTTGCACTAATATGTTGTGACTCTTAGGCTGAACTGGACATCCAGTGGTAACAGATCAAGGAGGCAAATCCAATTCCCTTTTCTCTTGGCCTTTGCCAAATACAAAGTCTTGCTGGGTGCAAAACTCAGCCTGAGGCTTTGAGATAGCAGAATGCTCCTAAATTGAGCCAGCACCCAGGGGGGTTCTAATACTAATGAGCTCCCTGCTGAGGACTCATGGTGAGCTCAAATTCGACTTTGTTATTTGAGGTTTACCTGAACCAAAGCCTCACTGAGGTCCTTCAGTGTTGGTGTGGCAGAGGAGGAGGTTTCTGGGACATGTTGTTAAACGCTAGTTTGCTCTGTAGTAGGGAGAAGCTTTTTCACTGGTGTTTTTTGCTGGTTTTACTCAAAAGTGTAGACTAAACAATTCCTTATTTGACTTTTTTTTTTTCAGGAGAGAATTGCATTTTGAGAAGTCTTTCTAATGTGTTTCTGTATGCAGTAATGACAGGAGTTGCTGTTTGGTATGAAATTGCATCAGGTTCCTAGCAGAAAATATTGAGATGCCAAAGTGAATTCTTGGTCCCAATCTATACATTTTATCAGGTCAGTGAACGAGATACTCACTGAATATTTTCCAGGCTGTTGTTCAGTAAGATATCATTATTATGCATCTTATAATTCAGGCAAAGAACATTTCCTTGCCTCTTGCCACTACACTCTTAATTTCTTTTGTTAGTACAGAGTAGCTGCAGTGCTGCCCTTAGCCAGAGTCTAAATGTGTTTCTTTCTGTCTCCAGTGCTCTGGTATACTCCAGCACTGGTGTAAAGATACTGGCATGCCAGCAAAGCCACTCTGCATACCTCTTCCAGCTAAGTAATCTTGACTCCAAGGAACAACAGTGTACTTTTGTCAGTATCACTCTTGCTCTGACAGCACTATGCCTTTAGAATAACCTGTTAGGAGTTGTCACCAGTATCCAAGTGCTGCATATCTTTACCTGTAGCTCCTAACAATGCAGAGGCCATTCTGTTCTTTACTTGCACCTCATTTCTGCTGGTCACTGGGGTAGTTCGTGCAGTTTAGTTAAGATGAATGGAACTGGATTTAGTTGTTTGCTGCTTCAACATCCAGTCTTCTACCTGCCAGTTTCACAGTTCTCCCTTGGTGAATTGTTCTAGCAAAACATGTAGCTTGTTCCTACAGTCTTAACACGATGTAACGAAACCTTATGGCAGGACACATGCCCCACTGGATCCACTAATTCTCCTGGAAGTTCTGAAGGGAAAGGAGGACCAGAGCAATGAAATTACATAGATGTTGACTGTCTGCCTTAGTGATTACAGTTCAGGCTTCATCAAACAGGAGCTTAGGGAGACAGTGCTTTATCATGGCATGATGGATTCACCAGAGCACAAACGGATGCTCACGTACATGTCCCAGTACTATAAAGAGCTGCCTTTTGTTTCTGCCATGGAGTTCTTACTCTGGACACATCTGTGATGTCTTTCCTCTGCATGAGGTGTGGGAGAAGGGAAGAAAAAAGGACGCTGTGTTTCAAAACTGTTTCTGTTTGATACCAAAGACCTAAAAGAAGGTACATGTTACTATTCTTGGTGCATAATTTATAAACAAACAACCTGAGAGGGGGGTTCTTTTTGTTTGCAACTCAGAGCTTTAAAAGCTGGGGTCCCAACAAACAGCTTACTATATATCACTGGTTAATCTGTTTTATGATCTTCCAGGATATACCCGAAGCTAAATGCATGGTAACAGTGCCGTTACACATGGTAATTCATTATGACCTTTTAAGAACTGATCCTTTAAGTTACTTTTAATTTACTTGCAACCTTCCTACCCTGATGAGGGTTTGAATGAGTAATGGAAAACGGCTGCTTCATTCCACTTCAGCTCTGTTTAAAAGCCTCTGTCTCTGGAGCCATCTTGTGGTGATTTTTTTCATTACTAGCCTTATGCCCAACACAGTATTTGTTACTGAATGCGCTTTCTTTCTTTTATCAGTTTACCAATCATATGAGTAATTTTACAGGACTATGAAACTCTAGAAATTGTGTAATGTATTTTAGTTGTAATATTTGGTGTCCTTTGTGTTGCCTTCCAAGATATTAGTGATCTCTATATATCAGCTGGTGTTCTGGCTTGGTGTGTTTAGACTGTACTTCATTTCACAGTCGGGGGATTAGATGTTGCGCTTATTTATGATTTGAGAAATGACTAATTAGAAGATACCAAATAATGCTTGAAATTAAGCAAGTTAGCTGATGACTCTGAGCTGCGTGGTTTGGTTGATACGCTGGAGGGAAGGAATGCCATCCAGAGGGACCTTGATGCACTTGTGAGGTGGGCTCATGAAGTTTAACCATGCCAAGTGCAAGGTCCTACACGTGGGTCGGACCAATCCCAGGCACAGCTACAGGTTGGGCAGAGAAGAGATTCAGAGCAGCCCTACGGAGAAGGACTTGGGGGTGTTGGTTGATGAGAAAATGAACATGAGCTGGCTTCAGTGTGCGCTTGCAGCCCAGAAAGCCAACCGTATCCTGGGCTGCATCAAAAGGAGCGTGACCAGCAGGTCGAAGGAGGTGATCCTGCCCCTCTACTCTGCTCTTGTGAGACCTCACTTGGAGTATTGTGTGCAGTTCTGGTGTCCTCAGCATAAAAAGGACATGGAAATGTTGGAACAAGTCCAGAGAAAGGCCACAAGGACGATCAGGGGACTGGAGCACCTCCTGTATGAAGACAGGCTGAGGAAGTTGGGACTGTTCAGCCTGGAGAAGAGAAGGCTGCGTGGAGACCTCAGAGCAGCCTTCCAGTATCTGAAGGGGGCCTATAGGGATGCTGGGGAGGGACTCTTCATTAGGGACTGTAATGACAGGACAAGGGGTAACAGGTTAAAACTTAAACAGGGGAAATTTAAATTGGATATAAGGAGGAAATTCTTTCCTGTTAGGGTGGTGAGGCACTGGAATGGGTTGCCCAGGGAGGTTGTGAATGCTCCATCCCTGGCAGTGTTCAAGACCAGGTTGGATGAGGCCTTGGGTGATATAGTTTAGTGTGAGGTGTCCCTGCCCATGGTAGGGGGGTTGGAACTTGATGATCTTAAGGTCCTTTCCAACCCTAACTATTCTATGATTCTATGAAATCCAAGACTGCTCATCTTCCAGTATCACATCACTGCTTTGTCTACACTATAGCAGGCACTCAAGGGTACAGAGGTGTCTCACTTGCTGCTATGGATTCTGTTTGGGATTTTCAGTGTCCTTGGCAAAGGTGGATTCCTGAATTGTTTTGGAGGAATAGTTCTTCTGGCACTTTTAATTTATTTTACATTATCTCTGTATGGTCCCACAGTCTTTGAGGGGAGCCAGCATCCGTGTTCTGTGCAGCACTCAGCCTGCTCTTTTTGCTCCAGCAGTAAGAATGCCAGACCAGGAGTGCTGCAGTTGATGCCAGGCAGTGGAAAGTACTTGGCTATTATATGAGAAATAAATAGGTAAGTTGTTAATACATTCGTGTTTCTAATTTGCCTTCTACACTTTTGTCAAAGGCAAACTTATTTCGGGACACAGCTGTGTATATCCTTTACTTACTGTTGTTCTGCCTGACAAAATTTGCAGATCAATGACTTTGTCATTGTACCTGCAAGCTGTGACGATGCTCAGAGGTAGTTTTGGGTGTTGCAACCACAGCTGTTTAGAAGTGTTATTCTTTGGTAGCTTAATGGCTAAACAGTGGGTTGTGTTTCAAAGTTGTCCCCCTTACCTGATGGTGCCTTCAGCAGACTTAAAGCAGTCTGCTGAAGTCATCTGGAGCCTGTCTGGAAATACTTCCACAACCCACTTCCTAGGTCCTGAAAACTGAATGTAGGCTTGGTCACAACAGTAATACACCAAAAAGACCCACAATCATCAGTTGTTTGAGATAAGTTTGAGAAAAAACCTAGAAAAAAATACCTTAAAGTCTTTATTTTGTTCAGGTGGAGGTTTTACAATAATACAAAGCATGTAGTTGCAATGACATTCTTTATTTCAGGTTATTCTGCAAGCAGAGCAGCACAGGTCACCTCTTAGGTAATTAACCTTGTGCAGTAAGCATGAACTAGACAGGGTTCTTGACCTGAAGGCTGTGGTTACAGTTTTCCTGCAAGCTGTAGTTTTAGGAACTACTCCACCATCCAGCTTGCTGCAGGCACTGCCTGTGTGTTCTTGTGTGGCGAAACCAACTCTGTTAGGTATATGTGGCTGTTTCTTTTCCACCGAGATTTAATATGGTAATTTATTCTAGAGTAAAAACAAAGAAAGTTAATGTAACACTACAGCAGAGCTGCTCGGAACTGTGACTATGGGGCTGTGCATATTGTTCCCTATGAACACCATAGAAATTAAGATTGTTCCTACTGAAACTATTGTAAAGAATTAAACACACGCGCTCAAGCCTTCATTGTTCAGAAGCTTCTTCTGTCCATTTTAAAGATCCTTGCTTACAATGCCTTAAAATCTGCCAAAAAAATCTACCAAAAAAACCAAGAACCCCAAAAGCCAAAATAACACAACCAATGACCCCAATCTAACCAAAGAAACCCAAAAGAATTAACAGTACCTGATAATGAGTCTGAGTGCATGATAAAGCAGCTCACTGCGGATGAGAAACACCACAGGGCACAGCAGTTTTGGTAGGCACCAAAATCAAGGGGCTAGAAGAGTGAGTAACATGAGTACTTGATCGTGTCTTTTTGCTGAGGTTCATCACATCCATTTCCTGAAGCATCTGAGGTCTCAGCACTGCTCTAGTGGTAGCAGTAGTGAAGATGATGGATTTCCGTGGGCTTGCTGTAAACTACCATAGTGCTTCCTAGTTATGTTGGTGGTAGTAATGCTGGTTAATTTGGGGGGGCTGTTTTCTGAAACCACACTAGACATGATACTATAATTTGCAGTTTTCCTAGCACAGATAATAGCCCTAAATGCTGTTGAGGTGTGTGGGAAAAACTCTTCAAAGGAAAAGTGTCCAGGGGAAAATGCTCTCAAAAAATGAGGCAGCTGATGTGAACAGGAGTGAAGGAATATGGAAGGTTAAGTCAGTGTTAGATTGTCTTGCTAGCCAGACTAAAAGCATGGCAGGAATGGGTGAGGATGGGGGAAAAGTAATCCTTTGGTGTATCTGCTTCCATGCCCTGTGTCCTGTTGTAAGCTATGGTGAAGTTGCTCATAGCTCTAAAGGAGAAAGGGTGATGTATCACACAACCTCCTTACTACATATGGATGTATGGATGATAGGAGACCCTCTGCTGATTTGCAGTCACTGCATTTCTGACTTCAGGTCTTTTCTTTTGTAGGGGATAATTTAGCCTATCTTTACAGAGATGAGGTTCACCAGAGCGAAATGTCACTCAGGCAGACCACAGCCTTTATAACAATGAAACTCTTACCATATAAATCTGGGTTTGGTTTCTGTTTGGTTTTGCTTGATTGATTGCTTTTCCCCTACATTAGGAATGGACATTACAAGCCAGCATTGGCTATATCCACAAGAGAAACCTCTTTCATGGAGAGGGGAAGTGCAGCCTCCTTTCTTCACACACATACAG